ACTCAGAAACCTTACAATTTTTGACAAGTTGAGAAAATGGCAAATAGTCACAATTTAAATGATAAATCTGTGTTTCTTTTAAATCTACTCATTTACTATAGCTTTTGTAAAGAATTTGGTTTTATATTAATGTTTTAATTATTAATATTTTAAAAATAAAATTGGTATTTCTATTTTTAAAACTTTATATAACCATCTATTATGTGGTATGTAAACACAGAACATATCCTGATTTTTACATATAGTATTCCCAGAGATAAGTGTCAGTCTTGAGTGGGAATGCTTTGAGAATTTAGCCCTAAGAGAGTGTTAAGATAATAATGGTGATCTAAGAGAACTTCGAATATATGCTGAGACTTATTCTCCTTTTTTGCTTGGATGATTTTCTTGGCATTTGGCTCCAAACCTTTAAATGTGAACAGTGGAATATAAAACCAAAATTTAGTTATGAGAATTAGCTATTTCTGGGAAATTGTGAAGTATTTTACTTACCTTGAAGACAATTTCATATTTTATTATTTGATAACTTGTTTATTCATTAATAAAAATCATTCGTGTGTTACATATTTATGTACTGCCTACTCAAAATGGTTTTAGGTGAAAAGTGATTATCTTTCCTTTCAGTTGGTTCCTATAATTCATACAGAAACTGTGTTATACCTACATTTATAAGACTGGTGAAAGTCATTCAAATTTACTTACAATGTACTTATGTTATCAGAGAGTGAAAGTATCTTTTTTATAGCAGCAGTTCAAAGACTTCACTTGACAGGGCTTATGGATGCACATTTTGATAAGTATGTACTTACAGGTACACAGATAAACAGACATTGCTGTCTGAACAGATATTTCAGTCGAGCCAAATCCATATGATTTTGTATTTGTATGTCATAGCAGTGACAGCCGTATTGCTTAATCAATGCTCGGAACACATGTTTTAACAGGTGCATGGTTTAGGTAGACTCCAATAGATCAATCTCTCAGTCTACCTAGTTTGGAGTTCATTATATTAATAGTAGTCCATTTCTTAGGGGCTATCTCGACAATAATTTCTATATACTCTATAACACTTTAAGATATCATGCTTAAGTATTTAAAATCTTATTTATTAAAATATGTCACACCCATATGTTTTTGGGCAGAAATATTAATACAATGGTAAAACATACATGGAAATTTTGCAGTATTGTGACTTTTTTTTTCCCTCATTACCTATAAGCTCGATTTAATAGACTGTGCAGTTCTGTGGTCATAATCAGAAGTGCTGTTTAATCAAATCTAGTCTTAGAAGCAGTAGAAGAGCATTAAATCTAAATTGGTCTTTGACATTGATGATGATACTTCTTTGTGTACTAATTTTTTGTCTGTGCTATTACTTTATTTGTAAAGCTGAAGAATAAAATCAGTATGAGAAAATGTGTTCAATAAGAGTACAAACTTCCTAAATGACTTTTTAAAGCCATGCAATTTCAATGGACAATTTTCTAAATGTTTTTTAATTCCTAAAGATATGCTCACATATAGGATATTTAGTTTTCAGTAGATTTCTGTCACCTTCACAGGAAAAAAAAGACTCAGTATTCATAAGCAGAAATGATTGCATTATTTATAAAATTAGTTTATTATGAAGACAACTGCTTTTTAAATCTGAGATTTTACAGCTTTATTTATAGAAATAGTTATTTCTAAGTCCACTCTAATGTATGAAAATCGTCACATTAAAGGGTCAGAAACATAGATTTTTGTTTTAAATTACTCATTGTTCCTATTCTCTTCCATTTTTGCCCTGTAGCATTGGTTGACATTTCCTAGAGACTGAAGTGGCATAGGGCTGAAAAATATGTAATTATAAGAATAACCTGCTCTTGAATTTCCTATTATATACTACTCATGATTCAGGCAGACTTTTCATAGGTGTTTAACTTGGAATGAGAAGTTTTCTTCTTCCATGACCTGTGATTAAAATGTGGCATTTTGGTATATAAATAGAAGATAGTTTCTGCACAATCCAGCTGCGAATCAGAGCTGATGAAGCAGTGTTAAGTCTTTGACCTGTATCATATAAGCAGTAGAATACATAATTGGAAATATATTTTAGATTAAGTGCAATAAACCTTTTCTTTAATACTCTGTAGCTTATAGCCGGCTAAGTGCTGAAATGCAACAAGATGCATGTTAAGAGAAGTTTTGCTTCATTTAATGCTCCCCAAAGGAATTCCAATAAAAAGAAATCTAGTACAACTACATTTGAATACTTTCTTTTTTTTTAGTGAGTTGTAACCATGAATGTAAATATTTATCAGTTGCTTTAGCATGATGGTAAGGGTAGGGGATAGGTTATATTTCTTCATAATTGAAAATGAAACTTACCGTTACAATAGTGTTTGGATAATAGCCTTACCTGTTGCATTAACCTTTATAAATCTTTATGGCTAAAGTTGCAATTTTCAATTAACTGACTGTGGAATTATGCACCCAGTTCCTCGTGATAGTTTGTGTTTTTTTTTCTGGATACTGAGATAGCTCATATATATTCCCATGCTCAGTTTAGTTTGCGCATACAATGTCTGTAAAGATATTAGGTATGTATATGTGCATTATTCTTTGCATTGTAAATATAAATTATATTATTTCAAAGTCGTGCATACTATTGTTTTATAGTAAGATGACATTTGCTAAAACACTTTACTTATCATTTTATAGATCAAAACACATTAACTTCCCACAAGGGCTTTATAAGTTAGGATTCCTAAACCATTGATATTAGAATAAGTGGGCTAGAGCCTGGATGTCATCTTCTATTTTACATTTTGAAACATCCTATATTAATAAAGCTAAAGCATTAAAAATGTTTCATATGAACCTATCAATTTTAAAATATTTTAAAAGCATCAACAAGAATGTATTTTTCAAAGCCTGTGGTTTTGAATTACATGTTTATTAGGGAGATATGGTGGCATTGATTTTGTATTCTATTAATATCTTTATATCTACTCTACTGTTTCACTATTTGTATTTATTGTCAATATTGTATGCCTAAAGTTTTTATTTCCTCTCCTTATACAGTGTCTCTTTGATGCCCCTGATTTAATTTCATTCATTACCATTCTTCTAAAGTTACCTTCTACATGCTCTACAGTGACCTTCCTGTGAAGTCTCTCTTCTAGAAACCTTTGATATAGTAGACCTCTAATTGTCTCTTGAAACATAAGGTTTTGGATGTGATAGGCAATATGTATTGTTTAAAATATGAATGGAGAAGAAAATAACCTCTCCCTATTTTCTCTCTGTGGAGTTGTGTTAGCCAGATTCTATTCACTAGACTATCTTCCTTTTTTGACTCCTCTCCTCACTTCCTAAATGTTTTTGGAAAAAAAAACCCAAAAGTTTTGGTCCTCAATTGTTTAGTTTTCTCTTTCCATATTTTTTACTTAGAAAAACCTCAGTGATTGCCTCTAAGTGAATAACTCCCTTCTTTTTCTCCAAGCTACCTTTCCCCCTGAGCTTCAGTCAATCTCCAAAGGAGATTTTCCAGACAAATTATCTTCTGGGCATTTCTATTTGGGTATCCTGTCACCTTTTCAAACAACTGGTTCGCAACCAAACTCATGTGTTTCTCTCTAATAGTATCTTTCTTCTGTGTTTCCTTTTTTCTGTCAGAGTATTATCTTTTTTACAGCCACTATTCATTTTTTATCATCTTCTAGTCACTGTACATGATGCGGTATTCACGTTTGAAGTTGTTCTTCCCTTTCCTTACCAATGTTCTTAAACTCCTTGTTAGTGTTCCTGAAACAGACCATCTCCAAGTCCTTCTCCCATCCTATAAAGTATTACCAGACTTTACTTTTATTTATTTATTTTTTTGAGACAGGGTCTCTTTCTTTTGCAGGCGCTAGAGTGCCATGGCATCAGCCTAGCTCACAGCAACCTCAGACTCCTGGGTTCATGTGATCCTCCCGCCCCAGCCTCCCGAGTAGCTGGGACTACAGGAGTGCACCACCATGCCAAGCTAATTTTTTTTGTTAATATTTTTTGTAGAGACAGAGTCTCACTATTGCCCAGGCTGGTCTTGAACTCCTGGCCTGAAGTGATCCTCCTGCCTTAGCCTCCCAAAGTGCTAGGATTATGAGTGTGAGCCACCACATCTGGCCCAGAGTGTACTTCTTAACCTACCACTTTCTTCATGAATCTTCTTTAATTTAAAACTTTTCAGAGCTACCTACTATCTATGGAAGTTGTTCTCAGAAGTGGTTTTATTTGTTTGTTTGTTTATTTGTTTGTTTACTACTAGAAGGCTTTGGTTTTTAGTTAAATCTTACATGGGACTAAAACAAATAAAACATTAACTCCAGAGCTGTTTTTAATGAAAATAATTTAAACCTCTTTTACTTGGGCTTTTCCTACAAAATATACTCTGGTCACTTCCATAGAATTTTAGAGCATTAGAATACAACTTGAAATCCATTGGCTTAAGTGCAAAAATCTTATTTAGGATTAGGCACTGTTTTGTTCAAACAATCTGTTTACTATCCAATTGTTCCATGTACACTCCATCTCTGTGTTACATGTTCTATAATTCCCATAGTGCTGTTAAACTACATTTTTGCTTTTTAAAAATCCTATTCATATTTCCCAATGCAGCTCAAGCACTACCTCCTCACTGAACATGTGATTAATATTTAGGAAATAAAAGAGTTAAGTATCCTTTTTCACAATGTTTAATGTTTAAGTATCTAGAAGGAGTACTGGTTTCTCCTTTTTGGAAATTATTTCTGTACTACATTTAATTATTAGGTAAACAGATATTATTATTTTATGTTTATTGTATTTCCAAGCTGTGAACTGAATGATTGTATGCAGTCAAACAGAATGGGTCCAAGATTGTTTGTTACTAATGTTATACATTAAGAGTATGAACCTAAGAATAATATCCATATGACCAAAATTAATAATTTAAAATGTGCTTTATTATAATTTTTACATTTGTTTTCTCTTAGGGCCTGCATCATACAATCCTGTTTTAAGGAAATCTTGCCCCATACCCATATTCGTTAAAGCATCAAAGCGTTTCGAAGATTCCAAAGAGATTACTCCTGGCCCAGCAAC